ATATTAAATCACTTACAATGTCTTTTTTTTCGAGCCATTTTTCAGTGACAATTCTGCATTACACACGCATGCGCACACACGCACACATAGGTTACAAAATATAGGCAGTGCCTATGAGGTTAACTTGAATCATCGACCATTGCTAATATATAAAAGGGTGCAATTCTCGTTTATAGTACGGTAACTGCGAAATGACTGCAAAATGGTGACTTTAAATAGTACGTTTTTTGCATCTATCTATCCTTCTATCTATCTATCTATCTATCTATCTATCTATCTATCTGGAGGACTGACATTATGTAACATTTCAGTACACATTGCTTTGTTTCTATCTATCTATCTATCTATCTATCTATCTATCTAGATAGATAGATAGATAGATAGATAGATAGATAGATAGATAGATAGATAGAAACAAAGCAATGTGTACTGAAATGTTACATAATGTCAGTCCTCCAATATGATAATGAATGCTGGACAAGCTCCTCACAGATGAAGAAGAGACTTGAGGCATCATAAATGCTGTTCTTACAGAAGGATGATGAGAATACCATGGACTATGAAGTGTTAGTGAAAATGGAAACAAAAGAATAATTACATTTAGCATCGGAAAGAGACAGATGAAATTTCTAGGCCACAGAATTGAGAAGAGAGCGCTTGGAAAATCTGGCATTCACAGGTTTATTGAAGACAAGAGGGAAAGAGGAAAACTTCGAATAATCTATCGAACGATGTTTTAGGGTATAGCAGAGATAGCATGACAACAAAATGTATTAAGATCTACAAAGGACTGGAAATAGTGAAACTTCATGATCGCCAAAAGCCCGATGAAAAATATATCTTGCTAATATTGAACACTTATTTTAAACTGTCTCTTTTCTTGCAATCATATTTTTTTCATTTTCTTTCTATTTTGTCCTTTAGGTTTGTTCTTGTCACTGTTGCACTCTAAATGTATGTATTTATATATTTATTCAGATTAAACTAGTTTAGATTTTTGTCTCGTTTGTCAACTCCCCCCAAGATATGAATTCACTGAGTGCAAGTTGAGGATTCCAGTCTGATTTGAGTACAAGCATTTTTTTTGCTCTATCTTTAGAATGTATTTATTAAGCATTCGGCTCTCTCATTGATGAGAAGGTTTACAGCAGTTAATAACCTTTAGAAATGGTTACTGCGTCTCTGATGCTATTGTGTAAATGTCACTAGAAATTAATTAAGTCTCCGAAATGAAATATAAAGCACATTATATTAGGTACATTGAATAACATGGGAGGAAATAGTAATAATTTGACTCTTCAGCGATGTCCATCATTTTGGCTATTAAATAATTTCGGAGATTTATTTGAAGGTCTCAGATCGGAAGCAGAAGGGGTGATATTAGAACCTTAATCAAGTTTTTCGTTTTCGCATTCCATTACATTAAGTTTAAATTTATCACATTAATTTCTTAAGCCAAACAAGTAGCGTCTATTTCTTTCTATTCTTTTTTTATTATTTATTTTCAACACATAGAATGCTGTTCGTCATCAGTGGAGATCAAGTGCAAGCACGTCTACTCAAATTTACTCTATCCCTTGAAAATTCGATTGAATTCAACAATTCCATAGTCTGCCGAGTTTCCAACACTGACATCTGTTTATCTTTTTATTATTAGATTGTTACTTAAGATCGTTCGTTTTTTTTTATATAATTTATTTAAATACTTACTATTTATTAATAGTTCTGATGAATCATGCAACAAAGTATTCCTCTTCATTGTCTACGGCCTCCTGCCACGATTCTCTATCTATTCAATGCCTCGACGATAAAATCACTAGAAGAATTCATCTACCCACGTTTTCAGCTCCACATCGTTGTTGAACGAAACACCCCTCAAATTGTTAAAATGCAACCGAAAAATGTTGTAGTCTGAAGGGGTTAAATCAGGATAAGTTGGTGGGTGGGGCCGAAATTCCCAACTGAGCTCTATCTTTGCAACCGCAAATAGACTGCTGTCGAGCGAGTAGACTGACGTCAGGTCGAGAAGCGCTGGGGTGTGTTCCTCTCAGTTAATTTATGTGGCACGTATACGAAGTTTTTTTTCTAGACTTTACACATCTAGTGAATATGATGAGCGACAGTAACAGGAGAGATCACCATCTTCTGAGACAATTCTCTAGTAACATGGCGCAGTTCTTCTCTAATCAGTGCGTTCTCATCAAATCGGTTAGTAGAACGCGGAGACTGTGCGTTCGAACTTGCCCTACATGAAATGGGAAAACCATTTCTGTGCCATTCTATCGACATTGAAGTTATCTCCGTACACAACACAAATGTCTCGAACAGCTTTGGCAGCTTTTTGACCTTGATTAAATGCAAAGAGATGCCGAACACTATCTTTCTTGTCTACTTGGCATTCCTTCTCAAAGAGGTAAAATTTCAATAACGTTGAATAACAGTTTCACAGTATGATAAGAGTTAGTAAGAAGCAAAATATACCAGGTAAGATCCTCCGCAGAACATCAGAGAAAACAAATGTATATATTTAACAACCTAATATATTTTCGACTTCCCCATCATGGAATAATTATTGATCATCACAGGAAATCAATTTACATCACGTTTTGTCACATTACTTATTTTGTTTTTAACTTATTCCATATGTTCTACGAGTACTAACCGAGTAGTAACCTTAAGTTAATTCAGTACTAAGTTTATTCTTAGGTTCTTTCAGGACTAACCAAACAGTTACTCCTTTCTTGTTCTTTCAGCGTAAATATTATTATGTTCTTTAATTAAAAACTTTTATCTACTGTTTTGAAACACTAACTTTATTTGCATATTTGTTTATTCGAGTCTTCTTTAACACTAATTCTATTCTCCTGTTTTGAACACTAACTTTATTTGCATATTTGTTTATTCGAGTCTACTTTAAATACTAATTCTATTCTCCTGTTTTTGAACACTAACTTTATTTGCATGTTTGTTTATTCCAGTCTTCTTTAAACACTAATTCTATTCTCCTGTTTTTGAACACTAACTTTATTTGCATATTTGTTTATTCCACTCTTCTTTAAACACTAATTCTATTCTCCTGTTTTTGAACACTAACTTTATTTGCATATTTGTTTATTCGAGTCCTCTTTAAACACTAATACTATTCTCCTGTTTTTGATCACTAAGTTTATTCGCATGCTTGTTTATTCAAATCTTCTTTAGAACCTAAATTTGTTACTCTATTTTTGAACACTAATCTTTTTTCGCGTATCCTTCCATTGGAATGTTCTTTAAACACCAATTATATTTCCTATTTTTGAACACTAACTTTATTCGTATGATTGTTTTATTTAAACACTAATTTTATTCTCCTGTTTTTGAACACTAACTCAGTTCGAATGCATGTTTATTCTTATATTCTTTAAACATTAATTTTATTCTCCTGATTTTGAACACTAAATTTCTTCGCATGTTTGTTTCTTTGAATCTTCTTTATACACTAAATTTATTCTCCTATTTTAAAAGTAAATGTCTTCGCATGCTTATTTATTTTATATTCTTTATACACTAATTCTATTCTCCTGTATTTGAACACTTCTTTCGTGTCATAACACAGAGAGCAAGCGTAGGCTTAAGGAAGCTTTATTCTGCTTAGAATAATTGATACCAACGCAGTGACTATTTATAGTCCTCTAAAAACGAAAGAGTTTTTCCGAAGGGAGATTACTCCCGATTACTTTATCACAATTCGCATGCGTGTTTATTTTTTGTTCTTTATATACAGTGTAACCCGGATATAAGAGAGTTGTTGGGACCGGAGAAGAAGTCTCGTTTCTCTTATATCCGGGTTTGGTCTATTTTATATACATTAACACAGGCTCTAATTTGGACCAGAGAAAATCTATCTTATATCCGGGTTTCTCTTATATCCGGGTCTCTTATATCCGGGTTACACTGTACTAATTTTATTCTCCAGTTTTTGAACACCAACTTTTTTTTTCTCGTGTCTCTTTATTCGAATCTTCTTTAAACATTAATTTTTTTCCTAGTTTTGAAACACTAACGTTATTACCGTGTTCTCCAATTTATGCAATTCTTTTACTAGATCTTGCTATTTCTTATGATTTAGATTGATATTTATATTACTATCAGCCATCTTGTTTCACAGTTTCTTCTTTTCTTTCTTTGTCCATAATAATTAATTCTGACTTACGCGCTTGAACTGGACGGTCTATTTAAATATTAATATCCCAATGTACAATATTTGTTTCTCTCATCCCTTCTTTTCTTCTTCCTCTTCTTCTCTTAGTTTCGTTATATTCCCGTTAAATTTTTGCAATAATTATATCAGTATCAATTGACATGTTTTCTCAAAGCTCCCACAATCATTTTAATATTATAAGTGGTTTTAGTAATGTTGTCATCTGAATTACTCTTCCTCGGATTTCTAATTCTTTAAATTACTTCTTCCCAGATAATCGGAATTAAAATCGTCACTTTCATATTTTTTTTTCGTTTCGTTATGCATAACTCCAATGAAAATTGAAACTGCTGCTAATGAAATTAAATTTAAAACATGTACATGTTTTAAATATATTTTTTTTCATTATTTAACGAAAACCAATTGACATCTAACCCTCTAGCCTGGACTGGTTAAACTGCTAGAGAGTTTTATGCTTTTTTTCCCCTTTTTGATGCCTACAGTTTATATGATCAATTATAATTATAAATGAGTGATTGATTGGGTTTTCTACGGCTTATCAACCTTTTGCAGGTTATTTAAAGCCAGAAAATATTTTCTTTTTAGATTTTTAATTTTTTTTTAGATCGGTGAGTTAATAATGATTTCGTGATACAAATTCCGACTAAGTAAGCCATACCTGAGGGCAGAAGAGATGTATTCATACTTTTCCCCGTGGTATTTCCGCATCAGTGACTATAACGACCTCGACTGGTACTTGAACTCAGTTCTCCGATTTCCAATTTCCAGCGGTTACCAATTACGCCATTCGCAAGCTTAGAGCACCTGGTATTCCTAAGTCGTCACCCATCTAGATACTGACCAGGCTCAACGTTGCTTAAGTTCAATGATCGTACGAGAACCGGTGTTTCAACGTAATATGGCCATAATCCGTACCAACCGCACCCGCACATCCAAGCTTACAACATCTATTATTCCCAAGCTGTCACCCATGTAGGTACTAACCAGGCTCGACGTTGCTTAACTTCGGTGATTGTACGTTGCTTAAATTCGGTGTTTCAACGTGATATGGAAGTAAACTTTAATTATAGTAGATTCAACTGTAGCCATATTTTAACTTTCTTTACTGGATTCCATTATTAATATTATTATTTATTCCACTAGATCCTTAGCTGGCACGTACCTTGTGCCATGCCATTGCCTCGGATAAACAGTGGGACATTCCGGTTTGATTGCGAGTATAAACAGAAGTAAATATCAAAGGCTCAGTTTGGTTTTAAGGAAAAAAAGAAAAAGAAATAAAAAAAAGAAGAGGAGGTGGTAACACTCTAATGTGTTAAACGTTTGCTTCAGTGAAATTGAAAACCTCATAAATTTTGAATTATTTAACCGTCTACATTGTTGCAGTTTTTTGTGTATATGTATGTACTAGTGAGCTAGCCCAAATGACTTGACTCACTTTATAGTCCACCAAGAGAAGTGTTAACCAAGAGAAGACGTAGAATATTCCATCTGTCGTGTATAAAGGCGGTCATTTTGTTTACTCTATCCGAATGTCCAGTGCCAGCTTGTCAGGCGAAGAGGAACAGAAGGAAGAACTACTGAACTACGCTCTGCTACTTTACCGGAATATCCACTGCCAATCTGAACAACGCTTCCCTACTGTCTTCGAAATATTCACTGATAACCTCTGGATTCTATACTCAAAGACGACCGTCATCATGAACAACATACATCTCTAAATGATGAACTGCATTCATATTTCTGATTTTTATTGTAATATTTTGTTAGAGTTTAATTCTTTCTTTTTATGTGCTATGTCCTTTCATGACGTAGGCGATCATGGCTCACCTCCCTCTGTGCCTTCCAGTTCTCAAGTTTCTTCTCTTTGCCTCCTCCCCCAGAACACGTTATCCAACTGCTCAAGCTCGCCAGGTATGTCACTCATTGCTTTCCCTTTTCTCTCTTTCCCTATATTCCATCCGTGAGTATCAGATTCTCCAGGCCCACCTTCCTCATTATGTGTCCCAGGAACTTCAGCTGCCTCTTCTTGATGTTAAATATGTGCCTCTTCCTTGTTGGCAACCACTCTAAGACCTCATCGTTGCTCACAAGTTCGGTCCATGATATCCTTAGCATCCTTCTGTAGAACCACATCTCCGTCGCCTGGAGTCCCTTCTTCATCTTTGAGGAAATCGTCCGATGTCATGTAACAGCTCAGTATTCTTTTCTTTGTTATTAAAGAAATCCTCCTGTCCCGCTATACTCAGTCCAGCTTTTGGAATGTCCTTGGACTTTCCAATACGCCTACGGATCTCAGCGTCGCACTTACCGTCCTCAGTCAAGACGATTCCTAGATATTTAAATGTCCGCGTCTGCTTGATTCTAGTGTTTCCGACCTGCAAATCGCATTTCGGGGCTCTTACTCTTACTGATGACCATGCATTCTGTCTTCTTGTAGTTAATTAATTTTATAATTGTAGAAATCTCAATGAGCTTCTTCAATTATTAAGTTAAGAATTAAAAGTCATTAGAAAATGAAAATAGCAAAACCCTGAATCGTTCCCATGTATTCCTAGCTATTATTAGTAGTATTAGTAGCAGTAGTATTAATACTACATCAATGGCGTTCGTTTTCACAATTATAATCATCTACTAATCCTCAGCCGCTAATATAAACGATCTTATGGTCTTATTTCCTCCAAGTGAGAAAAATTAAAATAGAAAATGACAATACTTTTACCGATCATAATACCAAATAATTGGTCAGGGTATAAGGGATAATTAAATAAATAAATGTTAATATTATGTTAGAAGGAAGTACAGAAGTTTCGATATCTGGGAAGTGTTTTAACAGAGGATGGAAAATGTTACAACGAAATCTGACATGTATTGGACGAGTGAAAGGGTCATTTCAAAAGTGCAAAAGTTCTGAAAAACAGAAGAAAAAACATCCGTTAGAAACATAGAAAAGAATGCCGGATTGTTATGTGATTTCCATCTTTTTATATGGTAGTGAATGCTGGATAATCCTCTCACGAATGAAGAGAAAGCTCGAGTCAATAAAAATGTGAATCTAAAGAAAGATGTTTAGAATTTCATGCACGTTGTGTGTAAGCAACAAGCAAGTCTTAAATAAAATAGGAAAAAAAACATCAAACATCAACTGAAATTCCACATAACGAGGAAGAGGGGTTTGAAAAATTTAACCCTCAAAAGGCATATTAAGTGCAAGAGAGACCTATGTGAATTGATTGTAGAACTGAGTGATCAGGGACTTAAAAAAAAGAAAATAACCTTCTAAGGGACACAAGGGATAGCAAGTTTTGGAGCGCTATAAACGCCCATTTCCTGAAGGGACACGACACATAGAAGAAGAAACGTTTGATGTAAATAAGACTAAATTTTCCATTCGTAAAATAACTTTTTATCGCGTAATCTCGAATCCCGTAACCCATCAGTGTTGTAAGGGCACTACGTGTACTGCAGTTCCAGTAAAAATGCTATTTCTTGGGCAAGATAGCCCGAAGGAACCCAACCCTCTCCAGGTCAAATTAAAGTCGGCTGTGGAGGGTATGGTTGCAGTCCAAGGCGATATGACCCAGTATGTCAAGCTGTTTTATCCAGTGCTGGGTGGGAAAGAGATGGAGTCATACCTTTCTCCAGGTTATTAGCACGTAAGTGAATGTAATAAACTCAAATAAAATTCGAACACGGCTCTTCAATTCCTCAATCAGAGCTGTTAACATTCACTCCACCATGCCTTCACAATCTCCTCGCGAAAACGTGAAAAACTCTGCTTTCAACTTTGTTGGTCAGTTAATGATATAACTTTCTCTCATCCGATGGCCTTGAGTGTGTTTATCCTAATCTCAAGAGGGTTTCCTTTCCCGTTTCTGGCATCGCCCCCACCGACATTGTTTTAGGCTCGAGTCTGAACATGGCGGTTATGAAGACACACTCTAGGTCAGCCCTCTCGGGTATCAAGCTTTTTTTGCTATCTCGTGTGATGCCGTGTGTGTAGCTTACTTTTGATATCTCTTAGGGTGAACACAGCATATATTGAGGTCCCCACAATTTAACTCCATTTAGATCAAAGATTTCCGATATACATTAAATTCGATTGAGATCACTGGCATTATCTGACATGAATCTCATACTAGAAGAGAAATTGATTTCTGACTGTATAGAGTTGCTTTTTTTTTCTTTAAAGGTTCAGAATTTTGTGGTAAACATGACCCCAAACCGCGAGCAAAATGAGGCACGCGGTTCACATACGGTTCTTTTGGCTTCTGAATGACACGTCTAATTTAATAACGTTTATTAAAATGTTGTGGTTCGTTTCATTCTCACTTGTTCGCTCACATTCTCTCTCACAAAGAGGTTGCGAAAAGCAGGTGTCAAAGGGAAATAACTATTAAACGTCGAGTAACCTCCCTTACATATTAATGCTTTTTTATGTTTTGGGTACAGTCTGACTAAACTACATGCATCATCATCATCATCATCATCATCATCATCTTTCCCTTCACTTTTGGAATCATAGTGGTGGGGATCCGCATGCATACGCCACCCTAAATCTCCCCCACAACGGTCGACCAAGGGCGGCCATCAGTAATACCCGTCCATTGTCTGACATTGTCCAACCAGTTTTTACGTTGGCGCCCTCTCCTACATCCACTTTCAACAGTGTCTTGCATGATGGTCTTTCACAGGTTATCGTGTCTTGTAATGTGCCAAAACCACGCCATTTTTCTCTGTTTTACAGTGACGAAAAGAGGTTACTGGTGGTCCAAGAAACTTTCAACACTTTTCCGCAAAAAATCATTGTTTTTACATCCCCACAAATTGATTAAATATAATTTTTTTTTTAATTTTCTAACTTTTGTTGAAGGTAACGTTCTTACCATTTGTAACCATTGCTGATTTTCATTAAGGAAAATCATACGTGTAAAAAATATATTGCTTTAGAAACGAGAAACGTACATATAATTTTGTTTTTCCTAGAGAATTTTTTTAAAAAATGATTTTTTCTATTTCCAAATAAATAAATTAGAAACAAATCATACGCAATAATATTTGTTAACCAGTGTCATCAGTGATAATATTATACAAAATATTACATTTTTAAATTGTTGAAAAAATCTTTTCTCAAAAACAAAAAAAAAATAAATTTTTCCCCCATTTCTACGGCAGATGCTGACGGGTATGATCTCCCGTAGTGAAAATGGCCGCTATACTTACAACGAAAAATTATTTTCTTATTAGTGCGGTCCACTTTATGATGAGACATCCCTCGTGTAGCCCACTGGTCAAAAAGGTTTGCCTGGTTTTATTGAAAACCTATTCTCGTTAGTTTGTGTTTAATTAAAGACAAAAATCATTCTATTGGATTCAAATTATTTCTCTATCCTTGCTAAAATATCAATGATGCGCCTGGTCTCAAACGACGTTTTAGTGAGTTTTACTCTCTGGCCAGATATATTTTCTTATAAAACAAATTTCTTTATCCCTTGTTTTCTGTTTAGGATTGGATTTCTGGTTTCTTCTAATGTCAACTTCAGTTCTATACTTCCAGTTGTTCCGCCTAAAATACTAAAAATTTATTCGCTAATTAAATCTTTTTCAAGGCTAGAATTAGCTATCTTTCCTGTTATCTAGCCCTTTCATACAACTCTACACAGCAACACTCTACCTTCAGTGGCCCTTGGGCTTTGTAGTGGGTGAGCATTAGGAAATAAAAAGAGAAAAAAATGATAGTTCTTTTTTTAATAAAAAAAATACAACTTTTCTGCAGTAAAAAGAAACGTTTCTGCAATATTTTCAATAAATATTTTTGTTAAATATTACAAAGAATTGTGCAGAAGGTCGACAAATTGGGGAAGATAATTTTTTTCATTATCCTATCGTTAACTTAGCCAGTCGTT